CAGCCTGGGGCTGCGCACGGGCGAGGTGCGCACAGCGCGTGCCTTGGGCGACAAGGACGCTGCCCGCCACCGCCTGCTGGTCGCTGTGCGGGATGGTGGGCAGCCTCCTCTTTCGGCCACCGCCACGCTGCACCTTGTTTTCGCGGACAGCCTGCAGGAGGTGCTGCCGGACCTCAGGGAAGACCCTGTGTCCTCTGACCCCCAGGCCGAGCTGCAGTTCTACCTGGTGGTGGCTTTGGCCTTGATCTCAGTGCTCTTCCTCCTTGCAGTGATTCTGGCAATTGCTCTGCGCCTGCGACACTCCTCCAGCCCAACTTCCTGGAGCTGTTTTCAGCATGGTCTCAGCTCCAAGTCTGGACCCATGGTTCCCTCCAACTACAGTGAGAGGACTTTGCCATATTCCTACAATCTATGCGTTGCTTCCCATTCTGCAAAGACAGAATTTAATTTTCTCAACGTGGCTCCGGAAGTGGATCACCCTCAGGATCTCTTGTGTGATGATCCTTCTATGGTTGCATGCTCCAATAATGAAGATCCCAAACTAGTTTATGACTCTTCTTTTCCTTCTCACGTAAGTGTTTTCAATCCTATTTGAATTTTACATATTGAATTTGCTTCTCAATAATGCAATAGGCCATTTTCCATGGTTCTAATGATTGGGGGGGGCTTATTGGCTTATTGGATAGTTGGAGATTAGCTCCTTGATTGCTCCATCATTTTTAAAATTGCCTGATTGTGAATATTTGGTTTTTACTCTTGTCGTTTCTGTGTGGTTGACAAATATTGTTAGGAAGGATGGTTTGAGGGATGTCAACACTCCTATTAATACCAGTACCCTTCCTTACTTCCTGGTGAGGCTATTTTGTCAAGTAATCATATGTTAACCCTTTATAAGTGTATTGAAGTTAAAATATATGTTCCTTTTCATCAATTCCATTTGTAGTTGTTTTCATTTTTGCTGAAAATATCTTTGTTTAACACAGCCTTCCACTAATGAAGCCCCTTAGCACTTCTCTTATTAAAAGTAATGAAGACTCAAATTTTAGATTAGATCACTAATTTTGGATCCCACAATTCTCTCATAATTTCACTCGAGTATATTCTATAAATTTCTTAACTGCCTTTAGTCATTTAGTTTATGATCTTGCTACTGTTATTGTAATAAGTAATGTAATGAACACTTTTATTTATAAAGCATTTCCTACATCATTTTTAGTATAGATTTCTGAAAATAAGTCAAATCTGTGAGTAGTGTAAGGTTTTTATGCATATTATCAAATTTATTTCAAAAATATGTCATTTTAATGTTGCAATCCCCAGGAATTAGTGAGTCTTTTAAGGATTGTGGAAAAAAATCTGCAGTCCAATCTCTGAAAATCTGAAGATGTAAAATTTCTATATGGTTAGCAAACTTTTATGTCTCCTTAAACTTTAAGTCAACTCTATATGCTAACTGTTAAGTGAGGAATAATCTAAAGAACTAGTGACTCACTGCTTTGTCTCAAAATTTCTCAAATTACTGTACTCAAGGAATCTATGAGGGGACTACAGGTGTAGTCATAGTAGTAATAGTAGAGCTAATATAGTAGCTAATAGTAGAGCACTTCCCTAGCATGCTTAAGGTCCTGAGTTATCCCCAGCATCACACTTTCAATAACAATGCATAAACAACTACTAGACTATTTCCTTTTACTGGATGTTTCTATAATCAAAACTAAAGAAACAAAAATAATGGTAAAATAACATTTGTGGTGGTAAAATAAGGCTACTGGAGGTGTCTAATGTTGTTTAAATCACTGAAATACTATATTTTCTCTACAGTACTTCAGGCTACTGCTTCTGTCTTTTAAACAGTTGTTTATTTAATATCAGAATTGTTTACTCATTGCTTGAGGCTTTGCATTTGCTTTGGTAGTTCATTAAACATTGAAAAACTTTGCTGAGTGCCTATTCCATGAAAGTTGCTGTTCTAAAGATTGAAAGACACATTGTGAACAAAATAGTCACAGGTGTAGCTTGTGGCCTAGAATCTCCTGTCTACAAAATTAATCAGCAGAGGGTTTTTTCCTAAATTCTTGAATCGTTTTTGCCAAGCTCATTTACAGAGAGATAAGACTATCTCTTGAACAACAGGCATTTTGTTGCAAAAGAATTGAAAAATTGCGCCAGGTTCTAAAGAATAAACTTAGGTTAAAAAATTAATTCTTCCTAGGATAGAACTATAGCTGGACTTCCAAGCTAGAAACCCACTACTGTGTTCTTACCCATCATTTTCCCTCACTTTCAAGTTCACTCTTGTTCCTAAGAGAAATAGATTGCCACACACTCAATACATTATACAGAAAATGGACTATGGGGATGAGCAATGAAAAAGCTGAAAGGAGGAAGAAAACGTTCTTTGCCAAAAATCACCATTTTTCTGAGAAAAGAAATAGCTTAATAAAGTTTACAATACAGGAAATTTTGATTCATTCCTGGATTTTTACTGCAAGTTAGACAGCAGTATTTTGAGTTATATTCTATTTGGGAGAAATATGAGTAGGAATGCAAAAGGTGTATAAAAGCCATACTTTAAGAATAAATTGCAATAATAGGTTAGGACTCTGAGCGTCGCTGTTCACCAATCAGGGGGGAAAAGACAACCAGGAATTTCATCCGAACAAGATTTCTGCAGCGCAAAGCTCTGGTTCTGAGGCTTTAGAAAAGCTTCAACCTGGATCTCCTCCAGCATCCCATGGTGAAAGCACATTATTTGGGAACTCAAGGATCGTAAGGCTCCACAGAAGAAGCACCCCAGCTCAGGATATTCCGCGGCAGGAAGGTAATGGCGGCGTCTCTTTATTCACTAGACTACAATGGTCTAATCCGGATCTGCATACTCCTGAGGGCTCTGTGGGAAATCCGGGCTGAACCGATCCGCTACTCGGTACCCGAGGAGCTGGAGAAAGGCTCTGTGGTGGGTAACATCGCCAAGGACCTAAGGCTGGAGCCCCAGAAGCTGGCAGAGCACGGCATCCGCCTCGTCTCAAGAGGTAAGACCCAGCTCTTTGCTCTGAATCCGCGGAGCGGCAGTTTGGTGACGGCAGGCAGGATAGACCGGGAGGAGCTCTGTGACCGAGCTCCACAGTGTGTGGCAAACCTGGAAATTCTCCTAGAGGACAAAGTGAAGATTTTTGAAATAGAAGTAGAAATAATTGATATTAATGACAACTCGCCCACCTTTGGAACAGAGCAGAGGGAAATAAAAGTTGCTGAGAGTGAAATTCCTGGGACAAGATTTCCTCTCCCTGAAGCTTTTGATCCGGATGTAGGGATAAATTCTCTACAGAGTTACCAGCTCAGTTCCAATGGTCACTTCTCCCTGGATGTGCAAAGCGGGGCCGATGGGATTAAGTACCCAGAGCTGGTGCTGGAGCACGCCTTAGATCGCGAGGAAGAGGCAGTGCACCACCTCGTTCTCACCGCCTTGGACGGAGGAGACCCGGTTCGATCTAGCACTGCTAGGATTCACGTAACACTTATAGATACCAATGATAATGTTCCTGTATTTACTCAGCCTGAGTACCACGTAAGTGTTCAGGAGAACTTGCCTATTGGCACTCGGCTACTCACCATAAAAGCCACTGATCCAGATGAAGGAGCCAATGGGGAAGTGGCATATTCTTTCCGGAAAGTAAGAGACAAAATATCCCAGCTATTCCTGTTGAATTCTTTGAGTGGGGACATAACAATAGTGGGGGATCTAGATTATGAAGACTCTGGATTTTATGACATCGATGTGGAAGCCCATGATGGACCTGGTCTCCGAGCCAGAAGTAAGGTTCTGGTGACGGTTCTGGATGTAAATGACAATGCTCCAGAAGTCACAGTCACCTCTCTCATCAGCTCAATCCAGGAAAATTCTTCCCCAGGTACAGTAATTGCACTTTTCAATGTGCATGACAGTGACTCAGGAGAGAATGGCCTTGTCACCTGTTCTGTCCAGGATAATCTGCCGTTCAGACTTGAAAAGACCTATGGAAATTATTATCGGTTATTGATACACAGAACTTTGGACAGGGAAGAAGTCTCAGAGTATAACATTACAGTAACTGCCATAGACCAGGGAACTCCACCACTGTCTACAGAGACTCATATCTCACTGCAGGTGGTGGATATCAATGACAACCCACCTACCTTCACTCACGCCTCCTACTCTGCCTACATTCAGGAGAACAATCCCAGAGGAGCCTCCGTCTTAACCGTCACAGCCCAGGATCCTGACAGTGGTGAAAATGCCCAAGTCACCTACTCCCTGACTGAGGACACCATCCAGGGGTCACCTCTGTCCTCCTATGTCTCCATCAACTCCAATACTGGTGTCCTGTATGCACTGCGTTCCTTTGATTATGAGCAGTTCCGAGACCTGCAGCTATTGGTGACTGCCAGGGACAATGGAAACCCTCCACTCAGTACCAACATGTCACTTAACCTGTTTGTGCTGGACCAGAATGACAACACACCTGAGATCCTGTACCCTGCTCTCCCCACTGATGGCTCCACTGGTGTGGAGCTGGCACCCCGATCTGCAGAGCCTGGTTATCTGGTGACGAAGGTGGTGGCAGTGGACAGAGACTCGGGTCAGAACGCCTGGCTGACCTATCGCCTGCTCAAGGCCAGTGAGCCAGGGCTCTTTTCTGTGGGGCAGCACACAG